AACAACTCCTGGCTGTCTCCAGCCTCTAATCGAAAAGGCCAGGCAACTTCTTAATATAATAAATAATTAGGGTTTGGATGAGGCTTTCATCCCCACAGTGCGAGAAGAAGACGCGTAAAAATAGAAATATGCCGTGACCAGGATTCGAACCTGGGTTATTGCGGCCACAACGCAAGGTACTAACCACTATACGATCACGGCCAACCAAGGACGATTCACACTTGTGGCTGATTTGATATTACCTTAACGTTATAACTTAACGATATAACTTAATGTTATAGCTATTATTTAGAAAGTTCAACTTATGTGAGAAGTCGGCACAATATTTAATCGAAACCTCTTAATTGGAGACAAATTTGAAGTTGTTTTCTGATTTTTTTCTATTCGACAAACTAGTTTGACACTCACACTTTTTACAGTAAGCTAAATGAAAGCCGCAAAAGATCGTCTGGTAGCTCAAAAATTTTTATAAAATTTTTTTAAAAAAAGTTTTATATTTTCCAGATTAATTTGAAACTAAATGTGTAAGACTTTCTACGATAATCTAGTTCATTAGCTTAAACATGTGCATACCCACATGTGTACAAACAAACATATAGTGCCTATATACCATGAATAGAAAATTTGCTATAAATCCGATTACTGTAGTGATTGTCTGTCGTAGTAAAAAGTTCCATCATTTAAAGAACGTCCTGCATGTCTTCAGTAGATCTCGTAATGTTTGTACGGTTTCGTAATCTATGAAAATTTTCTTCGAAGCTGATATATGAAGTAGTAATTCTCTGTTTTACTGAATCACTTAACAACCAGTGAACCTTTTGTGTGCTTGATTGAGACTTTCTTGATAGATTACAAAAACTACGAATTACTGCATTTGAAGTACAATGCATACATCTATGCCATTTTTTGATGATCAATATGTTCACATGAATTATCATGGCCATTAATTTCTTTGTATAATGAGCCCTATATACAATGTCCTTATACTTCCAAAACAGGCGATTTATTAACAATTGATAGGGCACTTTAAAGCGCAAAAGTATATTAAAAATTGATTTTAGCTCATCTCTCCTCGTTAATTGTAGCCACTGGAGGCGCCTATCAACAAGCGTCGGTGGTTCAGTGGTAGAATACTCGCCTGCCACGCGGGTGGCCCGGGTTCGATTCCCGGCCGACGCAGTACACCTTTTAAATTTTCTTTACAGAGGTCGCATCATCTTTGTCCCAAAATGTATATGCCTATTGTTTTAAACAAACCTTGTACTATATGATGCCTTGATCCTATGATTGACAAACCAATGCTTCCAACCTGTGTACAAGCTGATTTAATAAAAATTGAACATTGTGCACACATGCATTCTAACGCGCTATCTTCCAACTTTCTGTGATACTACCGTTTTTCCAACTATATGTACAAACATAGCCGATAGTAAGCCTCTATTTGTAGACTCTTCTGAAAATGCCTTCTCTTCAATAGAGCGTTGAAATAATCATCATCATTAAGAGAGTAAGCAAATCATACTAGAATTATAATTCTATTTCACTGTAAATAATATAGTAACAATTTGATTATCGGAAAACGGCACGACCGGCTTTTCAAGATGAGACCTATATATTACAATGGACTTATCAACGATCGGGAATCAATTCATATAGAATAGATCTTGTTTAAGTTAAGTGAGGTAAAATAGTTATTTCCTTTAAAAAAATTTACTTGCAGCACAATGTGTGTGGACACTTAAAGGTTACAAGCCCTTTTATTTATACAACATATTTTATTTACTTATGGAATTAAAAAAGTCATGCAGGTAGAGATGCTTTCGTAAGCACGTTAGGCATTCCTAAATGAAACCTTTGAAGCTAAACTGTTCAGTAATAAAAAATTCACGAACCATTATAATAGTTTGAGTATTACGAAGATGTTGCAATCCGAAATATTAAAGTTCCTGCCAAGGCTCGAACTTGCAACCTTCCGCGTGTGCGGTGGATGTGATAAGTACCATGCCAAATAAACTTTACCCAACCTGTAATTATAAGGCAGTTCAGCCGGGGTGAAATGCCGCACGATCGTCGTCAAAAGTGTCCCGTGGGCTTTGAGTGCTGGAGCAACAGTGTAGAGAAAACTCGACGATTATGGTCTTCTTAACATGCGTGAACACACACTTCCATATATATCTATTAATGTTGGTATTTGAAAGAAGTAGGTGTACGCTTCTGTATATGAGTATATGCTTCTGATAATGGTTGTAGTTGGTATTTTTTAATAAAATGTACATTCGCAGCTGTAGCATAATGTTTGCAAATGACCAAATAGGAAAAGGAAGTAAAATGCACAATGGCTGGGTGAACATCGAATAATACGTCAGGATCGATTAATATATCCTGCGTAAAACTAACATATCTTTATTAATTAAAAATTTCAAGGAGTTAAATTTACTTAAAAACATTCTAGTCTAGATATGCCACTCGTTATATATAGTATATATAAAAAGATCGAACTTGCGCCAACATTCTTTGTAGTGTGCAGAAAATTCCTGACTCCATACCATATACGCTCCATAACTGTCAAAAGCATGTACAGGGCTAACATCCAGCTGAATAAACTGGATTACAAAAATATATATTAAATGTTATTGAACTACCTGAAGTGTTCTCCATTGTCTGAGTGTGTTCTACTTATTCTACAAATCATATTCATGTATTTTAGCATATTCCTCATTTTTTTTTATAAGTAAATAAATGTATCATAAATTCCGACATAATATATATATTTTTCAAAATTATGCCCGTTTCTCGGGGCACAGACAGAATGAAACATTTACTGATTACCAGCTATACGTAAGTTTAAATTCCATAACTGCGCGCCTAGTAGACGTTACAAAAAACTTAGCAGAACGTGGTTTCGATCCACGGACCTCTGGGTTATGGGCCCAGCACGCTTCCACTGCGCCACTCTGCTACGTGGGTACGCGTCGACGAAATATACTGGTTGTGCCGCTATACCTAGTAGAAAGAATGGTACAAAGCGCGATAAGCATAACACAGAATGTAATAAAACGAGAAATGATAAAAATAATAATGTGTAACACCATCTTAATAGATAATACGTATGTTTTAATATTATCGATAACCTAATATCTTGAATTTGACTTTATCCTTGTTGAATAACACAATAGGTTCCAATCCTTTGAATACACGACGCAGTGCCCAAGGCCCACTAGCTCAGTCGGTTAGAGCGTCGTGCTAATAACGCGAAGGTCGTAGGTTCGATCCCTGCGTGGGCCAGCTACTTCGAGCAGTTTTTTGAACTCTGTAAATCGATCGCACTTTCCTTGGCAACACCACTTTTACAGAAATCTTTAAATCAGTGAAATTCACGGAATTATTGTGTATAACAATGAGAGGTTAGAAAAATAAAATCCAATTAAGACAGAGGAATCAGATCTTTCCGCTCGACATCACACGCAGTATCCGTAAAAAAATGACGACGACTAGGAAATATAATTATTAAAATAGGCGCATCTTTCTCTTATATGAAATATTTTCATTTTCTGATTTATATATAATGATTCATGTATCTATAAATGATTTATTCATAATAACAGATAACTGGACTGCATGCTTGATCCAGAGAAAATTTCATTTGGTCTAGTCTAAGCAAATATTAGGAATTACCATGGTGAATAAATTGTAGTAAAACAGGAAACAATACGAAGCTGAATGAAACAAAAATTTGTCGAAAGTTTATTTACTATTTGGAGCATACCCTCTCTAGCGATCAATTCTTCTGTTAATGAATAGGTTCAAAATAGTTATATAGTTTTCGTACATAGGGTAATAGCGGCAGTTAGCATCCTGTCAGCCATCGTTGATATCAACTCGATTTCGACAAAAATTGGGCTCGTCCGGGATTTGAACCCGGGACCTCTCGCACCCGAAGCGAGAATCATACCCCTAGACCAACGAGCCGACGGGAAATATAGGTGTCCTGCTAGATTAAAAGACACTTTGATCAGCATTATACTTTTCCAAGCTAGAACTATCAACTCCGCTTATTGCCGATGCTATATACACTCATGCGTATGAGGAAAACGTTACAGGAATAAAGCTAGAACATCAAGCCAGGTTTTACTATTTTACATTATGGTGAAAAACTGTGTTTTTTTTTTAATGATATAGTATCATTATTTGAGAAAGAGCATTTCTCAATTGACAGGCTGATTCCTGAAATTTCGATAAAAAAGAAATTGTTTTTTCAACTTTCGAATTCCATAGTATACAATAGAAAAGATTAAAATAAGATCATCTCCGCTATATCGCTTTCTTTTCAACAAATTAAAAATTGTGTAAGTGATCGTCCAAAAATAGTTTGTTATATATATGCACGAAAACTACGTAAAACCATCAAAAAGTAAAATATTTGCTAATAGCCATCCGGTCACAAAAATCCGTAAGTTTCGCGTTCCGCTATTTAACAGTAGCTGTCGGGGTAAACAATCTTCTCACTACCACTCATTTTAACACGATGTAACATATTATTCAATTTCAATACATATTATTCAAAGAATGTAAATCTATCTAGAGGCAAACACAATGATTCTACAGCTTTTTTACTTGATATTTATGTGAGACAAAATCACTACAAGTTACAAAAGCATGACATTGTTTCAAATAATACCGCCATTTGAGATCATTCAGCCATTGGTCACTTCCGCTTTTGGCGGAACGCCATGTTGCTGTTGTTCGGATGTTGTTACTGCAACGGGTACTGTTGATAATGATTGTGCTGCTATAGTTGATGATGATAGTGATGATATTCGGTTAAGAAGAGCGGAACCGAACCGGAGCTAAAGAGTGAGTGTGGCGCGGTGGTGGTTATTGTTGTTCGAGTGCAGTGCGTGCCAGCGCTGCGCGTTTTCCCTGCCCGTCAATTCAATCCTGTGATCGCTTGGATCGTCGTCGCCAACTCTCAGCCTCAATCACCGAAGCGGGTAAGACAGTGAAGAAGTCGGCAGTCTTCACTCCACTGCAATGACAACCCGAATCGCGCTCTGTTTTTCACTACATTCGAAGAACAATACAATCAGCCTTTCCATACCTGACCTGAGGAAAGTTCTGCCCAGCTTTTTTCTGAAGATGTATAGCGCGTGACGTCACTGTGGTCACTGTTTGTGTGATGTTACCATTTACCCGATAGGACAAATCTGTCTGCTGAGATTTATTTTAAATGTGCAATGATAAAGATGGTGGAGGCGGTAGTGATTGTGCCGTGTGTACAGTGCGATAGTTGCGTCGTTGTTTTGTAGTGCAATGATAAAAGTCTGTGTATGTGGATTATTAGGTGCGTTCTATTCAAATTAAATATAAAAGCTAGAATGGATGGTAGGACGCTACAAGCCTTTTGTTCCGAAATCCATGCGAGTCGCTCACAAGAACTAACCGAGGATGGGTAAGCCGGCGTGATATGTGCTCCGCCTGGTATAGTTAAGATAAAACGACATCATTTAGCCAGAACGGCACACAATAGCTGAGCAGCTCGTAATTGTGAAACATGATCGAAGAGCTGAATAACTGGGAAAATAAGAAAGATGTGTAAAACCCACTTTTATATAAGGTGCGCGCAGGCAAAAACGCCGCTACCAGAAAAGTTGTTTCATACACATGCAGAAGCTCTGAAACTTGTTTTGCAAAATTAAATCGAGTACAACCGTCATTGGCATTCTTCTATTCGGAAGCGATTATTATTAGCACTACATTGACCATATGAAGTATATGAGACGATAATATTGTTCGACATTTTAAAATAGTACCGAAAAACCTGAAAAAAGGCCAAACTTTACGCTGGGTCACGAATGTACGCCCGTGCATAAACTTTTGCAGGCAGAACCACTTGAATCAATGATAATGTACAGAACCTACTTCGCGTATAGCAGAACTATGAGATCAGCTTTACAAATTGGTCTCTGTTTAGTAGGTGTAGTACAGATTCTCTATGCAGCATAAACGTGGAGATTAGGACTCTTCTTTCGTAGGAAGTGAGCGCACAAAGCAACAAATATCTATGTGCGCATATATTAACGTTTGTCATTGAAAGAAAATACTATAAAAAAGAAAGTCACTATTGGAGTTGACAACAAATGTTTTATTAAAAGGATGAGATTTTTATGAGAAGACCACATCCGTGAGTAAATAGAGGCCTGGCCACTAGCACAGTATTTCTGCATAACACAAGCTTCTCAGCACCATATTTGCTGCGCTTGATGAGACTATGAGCATTAATCAATAAAATAAAGATTTTGATTGATACACATCTAAAAGGAGGCAGACCGTTTCAATCTAGTAAAAGTCCCTTTGGCTTTCCATTTTGAACTTCCCTTCAAGGTTAGCCCTTTCCGGGTCCCGTGGCGGATTCGTCGTGATAACTTATTTACACTCTAATCCCACTGAGAGTAAGAGGATGAGAATGAAAAAAAAAATGTTTATTTCTGTGGATGTTGTTTTGTCGAAATATTTGTTTGTTTATAAGGCAAGTTTCGTTGAGCGTCACTGTTCCCTGTAGAATCTTCTTCTAGCGATAGATGTTCGCTTGCATATTTGCACATATTGTCGCCGGCCCCCTCGTATACAATTTCTACAATAAGAAGATATTGACTTCCCCGCTTACTTAATACATGTGCATGTAACGCACGCCAGATTTAACGGGACCATTTGCGACAAGAAGGTAATGTATCTCTATTATCCACGAGATACATTGAAGGAATTATTATTATTGATCCAAGATGTTACTTTATCGTGACACCACGTTCAATTCACTGTTTGCCGGCAGGCAACCGTGCATAAAAGCTTAGGGTTTCACTCTTTGTCACGTTTCGTTGCATTACCCTAAAGTGTTCTATACTCATCTCAGGCAATATATAAGGATGCGTCAATGTTAGGATGTGTGTTTAAACACTGTGTTAGCAAAATTCCCTAAATAAATGTATCCATGGATGAGGCGATTTTTGCAATTCCTTTTCATTTTTAATGTTAAACCATGTCTATAAAGTAGCACAAATACAGAAATTTATCTGACTTTCAAATGTTAGAAAAAGCGAGACGCGCTTCAGAGATTATTGTTTAGCGTATTCCAAGATAACAGAAAAAAAAAGAATGGTTTTATTGATACTGAGGGAACGTATGATACCTTGAAACATGAGAAAAAAAACATGTTAAGTTTTATTTACATGTATCCTTTTGTGAATTAGTATTCATTCCCGATGCCATTTTAAGCAAAAGCAAAATGGCATCATTAATATAAGAAATTCACCATACGCAGAAAACATCAAGCCCTGGACTCCGAATTCGTTTACTATGCTCATGGTAATTTATTAATTTAACTTTAATTATGCTCAGAGCTAAGGAAATACTGGGATTCATTCTAATAATTTCACACAATACTCATTATTAGCAACATCTCATGAAGGGGCCAAGAGAAAAAATAACACGGAGTTAAAGGAAAGCGTGGGCTTAACATCTGACTTTTCCCCTTCCTACGCCTTGCATTAAGTCATTATTGATCGCACTTGACCAATTTTGATTTATAACGAAGTTATGCCGTAAAGCTGATTGTTCATCTTAATCAAAGATGGCCACATACCCGCTGCGTGCATCATCTCAGCATATCTTGCATAACGTTCACAGCTTGTTAAAAGTCCGTAAAGGTTTAAACAATGTTTTTCCGTTGTTTAAGCGAATTTTTGATTATTCGGAAAAATTTCATACGACAATTACGCAATTTTAACATTAAAATCCGGTGCTTGAACGTCAAGGCTTTTTTTGAAAGGTCTTGTGATTTCAAGCTATAAATTGATGTTTCGGGTTTTAATTGGGACTAATAAGAAATTTAGATATTTAGAAGAATAATGATAGATCCATATTTAATGTGTATAAAGACGATCATGTGGCCACTACCACAGTTTACTTGTACAGAACTAAAAGCTTTTAGTGCATTTGTTTTAATATGCTTATAAACACTAGTCAATGCGTAGGCTTTACTTAAGACTAATTATGAGCGTTAATATTCTTTTAGAGGGGTTCCGGAGGAAGGCTTTTGAACCATTCGCGTATGTTTTGCCCTATTGTCGAAGTAACCAAGTAAATGTTACCTGAGGAATTGCATCTTGATCAACTAACTGCTATTTCTTTAATCTCGTTGAGTCTAGTGTAATCTTTCAGGTTGTGGGACTGCGTAGTCTGTGACGTACGTTTCCAACCGTTATCAATTCCTTTAACATCAGTAATCAGTCACGATTATCTAATATCTTTATCTGCTGTCTTGTCTTCGTTGCCGCCCGTAAACTCCGCACTAAAAGATAAGAAGATCTCGAGGATAGCGCCCCTCGCCCTAGCTCTCGCCGCAACACCTGCGTAGTCCTTAGTAAGGACTCTTCGACGAGAAACAAGACAAGATTACTATACAATAATACCACGGGATCTGTTTACTGCCTCTTACCCCAGTCAGTTCGCGCAGAGCTTACCCAAAAGCGTGCAACCCTTCTTTTCCGCCAACACCTGCCACAACGCGAACGAGCCGATCCAGCAGAAAAGCACGACGTGACCGTTTACATCCGCGTGCAGTTTAGCGTGCTGTATATGTTGTCCCGAACATCAGTCAATCAGTGGTGAGAACGCATCAGTCTGCGACCTTTCAACGCTCTTTGTGTTTCATCCAGAAGGTATAACCACCTTTACTTCGTTTGAATCTTCTCCTACGGCAAGACAACATACACGCCGCTACAGAAAACGTTACCTTAACAAGAACGCCACCGTACCAACAACAAGATGAACGGTAATCTTCATAACGATTCAGTGTGTATTCTTGACGCAGGCGCTCAGTATGGCAAGGTCATCGATCGGCGAGTGCGTGAACTTAACGTCGAATCAATCATTATTCCTCTTAACACGCCAGCCAGTGAAATCGTGAAATCAAAGTACAAAGGTAACATATATGACTAACCACCTTTTAAATTAACATGAATTAGTATAAAACTGCGTGAAATACTTAAATACAACTTCCATACGTATGAGTAACTATCAAGCGATCGACTGTACTAAATCTATTTTCAACATAATAGAAGATATTGTCGAGTTCATTGATTTTCAGTCAGTTGGGGGTCAGACTTTACCGATCTTGTGCGTAAAAGTTGACCTAAGCTGCAATGCGGTTGAAGTTCAAAACTCTAGCTCTAAAGCACCCCTACTATTTACAACCGCATTTTTTTCCTATCCTCATCGGTTACTATATTTTAGCTTTACGATATGAACAGTATGTTTTTGCTCCATCGTGTAAAAACTGACGGGTTCAAATCACGAAGAATATAAATGTTTTCTTGTATTCATTCATGTAGGTATCATTTTTTACCTAAAAGATGCAATTGGATTGCTGACCTTTGCGTAGTTGTAACATTTACAACCTTAGATTACATGTTTACGATGCTATCTAAATCATGGATAAAAAACATTCGACTTTTTAAGCGTAAAGAAATGAATGATTTTAAACAACAAAGCTATGAACGTTAAAACTTAAGGTTTAAATGCTAGCCTGCCTTGCGAAACTTCGTACGCGCCTCATGTGTGATTTTCTACTTTTTCTTTTGTTTCATCAGGTATTATTATTTCTGGTGGTCCTGGGTCGGTGTATGCCCCTGACGCACCCTCATATGATCCCGCGATCTTCCGTTGCGGACTTCCCGTGTTAGGTATCTGTTATGGCATGCAGCTACTTAACAAGGAGTTTGGCGGTACTGTTACCCCGAAGGACAATCGAGAGGACGGACAGTTTACCATCAATGTCGACACCACATCAGCCATTTTTAAGGGTACGATAAAGCCTGATAAAAGAATATTATGAAAAACTGTAATTGTTTATGTTATGAAGCAGCAAATTTACTGATTTTGATCATTAAGTATTCTGTCGCAAAGAATAAAAGATACTGCGGAATATCATGGATGACTGAAATAAAGCTGTTATTTTTTAGATTTCTATCTGTGACCATCTTTACCTTTTGCTAGTGTTTCTCAGCCAATCCTAAAGCGGTCATATGAAAGGGTGGTTATCTTTTAAAAGGACTGGTGGCTAGAAAGAGTGCGTAAGAATGCTGAATGATGACTGCTTTCAATGGAAGCGGTGGTGGACGTTGCAGATACAGTTGTCACCAGTCATAACGATAAGATGATTTTTACTCCAGCACGTAATAAAGTATATAAATGTGCTATTGGTTATGAGTTGAAGGAGAGCCCGTTTATATGGTAAAATCCATTATGAATAGAGACTAGTAATATATGCAAGAAAGCGGACATGAACACGTGTCCTTTGACGTACTCTGGCGACTAGATACGTACTTGTCTCTATTCTGCGTCGTCAAATTTAAGATTTCTTAGGCTCATTTTATGTTTTACTATCGTAATACTCAATGTGTCACAGGTTTGACCGGCCAAGAAGAAGCTCTATTGACACATGGCGACTCTGTGTCAAAGCCCGCCGAAGGCTTCACGGTAACAGCAACCTCCGGTGATACTGTAGCAGCTATTTGTTCAGAGCAGCGCAGAATCTATGGCGTGCAGTTTCATCCGGAGGTGGACCTTACACCTAATGGAAAAAAGATTTTCCGCAATTTTCTTTATGATGTGTGCAACTGCATCGGCTCCTTCACGTTGGCCAGTAGAGAACATGAGTGCATTGAATATATTCGAAACACTGTCGGCTTATCTAAGGTACGTATTTTCGATTATCGCATTTATCTGAAAGCGACTTCATTAACCACAACGGAGAAATTAATTGACTTTATTGCCGTTCATTTATTTTTCCACGAAAGAAACCTGAAATTAGAGCAGAAATTTCATCAGTGTACGCTGTTCTACATTCTGATGGCTGTATATTACCTCGGTTCCATTTTTATTTTGAGATATTAAAATTTTTCTCTTAGAAGAAAGCAATTTGTAATGCAATAGTACGTTGTCAATATAGTGCAGACTCATAGTTACCTTATGGTAAATGCTAGTTACTACATATTTTGAGTTCAAGATTTACAAACTATGATCCTATATGAACGCCATATGCATATCAGTTTATATGTTCAGTTTGCACAGTGAAAACCATGTTTTTTCTGTTTTTATATTAAATAGATCGAGGCTCTTCAGTGTGTACCCTGCCCATCCCGCCATTAAGCTAGTCTCTATTGACGTGATATTTTCGAATTTAGGTTCTAAACCTTGTTTCCGGAGGAGTGGATTCAACCGTGTGTGCTGCCCTGCTGCGTCGGGCTTTACCGGAATCACAGATCATTGCATTGCATATCGACAATGGATTTATGCGCAAAGATGAAAGCGTGCAGGTTGCTGCATCTTTAGAACAGATTGGCTTGAAACTTAAAGTTATTGATGCTTCGGCCCGATTCTATAACGGCACTACCGAACTGCCCATTGATCGGACAAACCCTGCAAAAGGCAAACGCAAGACAAAAATCTTAGGTCACACAGTCCTGCCGGAGGAGAAGCGAAAGATAATCGGTGATACATTCATGAAGGTCGCGGACGAAGTCGTTGCCGAACTTAAGCTCAACCCAGACGACGTCTTTCTTGGACAAGGAACACTACGGCCTGGTTAGTTACAACCAGTTTTACACAAGCACTTACAAAATCCTTTCGAATACGAACCGAAGCATTTACAGTCCCCCTACCCGCTCCCAATAACAAAAGCTATAAAGGACTCTTTATACTTATCATTAGATTTGATTGAAAGCGCGAGCTCGCTCGCTTCGGGATCGGCGGACGCCATCAAAACGCATCACAACGATACAGAACTCGTGCGTATGCTGCGTGAGAAGGGACGCGTGGTTGAGCCCCTCAAAGATTTCCACAAGGACGAAGTGCGTGCTTTAGGTCGAGACCTTGGATTACCTGAGGAGCTGCTAATGAGGCATCCCTTCCCAGGTCCCGGACTTGCTGTTCGTGTCATCTGTGCCGAAGAATCATACATGGAGAAGGACTTCGGCGAAACTCACATTCTCTGCAAAATTATCTGCGATTATGCACATGCGTCACAAAAAAAGCACTCACTTGTACATAAGGTAACATGTTACTTTATTTTTCAACACTGTTCTATATAGAAGTTAATTAAATTAGTGTGTTATTAAGCTTTGCGCTACCTGTGTTGATTTACAAAAGAAGGATAACCAGTACTACAGGCGCAATTATACTAAGTGAAATAAAACGTTAGTAGTCATCTAGGTGAAGTGCTCATAACGGCGAAAGCAGTGCTGTTGCTAATAACACCAACTTTCATACATAAAGTAGCTTAGTTCGGAAAACAGTGTTTAAACATATGACGATAACCTCCTCTAAAAAAAAGGCCCATTGTTTTTAGGATGTTCGAGTAACGGCACAATAAACTCAACTCAGTTATTGAAAACAAATCAGCCTTGCCAGATCGTCTAACTTATTGCGCCTGTGTGTATAAACGAAACTATATTTTTTTATGTCATTTTAATATAGGTGGAAAACGCATGTACCAAGGAAGAACTCACGTTCCTCACAGAAATATCCCAGCGGCAACCAATGCATCCCGTATTATTACCCATCAAAAGTGTCGGTGTACAAGGAGACAAAAGGACATATTCATACGTGTTAGGCTTGTCGCCTGTTGATGGAAAGGTGAGCTTTGTTATTTCTTTTTACGCAGAAGGTGATTTCTTCCAGTTGTTTATACCTACGTGAATGGATGTTGTAATCACAGGTCGTGCACAACCCAGATCTACCTGTACTCGCAGCTAATTTCTATATATTACTTACAAGATATTTACTATTCAATGACGAAACAGGTGCCCGAAGACTGGACGATGCTTATGAGGTTTGCCAAGTTACTGCCGAAGATTACCCATAATGTGAACCGTGTCGTGTTCATCTTTGGTGAGCCCGTCTCTCAACCCGTACACGAAATTACTCCAACATACCTAACACCCAATGTCTTGCAGACGTTAAGGCAAGCAGATTACGTTGCTCAAGGTACATTGGCTCGACATGGTATGACAAAGAGACTTTCACAAATGCCTGTGATTATTGTACCGATTCATTTTAATTGCGATTCTCGTCAGACGCCGTGCCAACGCTCGATTGTTGTACGAACTTTTATCACAGAGGATTTCATGACTGGAGTTCCCGCTCAACCTAACAAGCACATACCATTGCGAGTCATCCAGGAAATGGTTGAGCAGATTGAACGCGTCAATGGCGTGTCTCGAGTGTTGTATGACCTCACGCCAAAACCTCCTGGTACCACCGAGTGGGAGTAGGCAACTAAGTAACGATAAATAGCTACCCAAAATACAAGTGAGGATAAAACTGGAATAATTCGAGCCACCTAAAACCGAAAAAAAAAACTTGTTTTTGAGCAAGTGACGTGTGTTGGTCAAGATGTTTTCCTTATCAGTCGTAAAGAGGTCAAAATGACAGGCAACAACAAAAGTCAGTTGGCATTTGGCTTAGAGTTGGTAAAGTGTTAATTGACTTGTCTCATCTTTCTTGTGTCCCAAGACTTTGGAAGTTGTCCTATAAAAGTTTACCTGCCTTATTAGTTAGTTCTTTCAAAATTCTGTTGAGCCTGTTCTTTAGGTTTGCGTGGACCTATACGTCTGCAGTAGTACGCTTCAGAGGTAGAAGTATTCCTTCCTAAGTCATTAGATAATATGTTGAATTCCTATCTCTTCACTAACAATCTAACATTCAGCCAAAATTATGTAACTTTATGTAATAACTTATCCGTATTTTGTCTTCTCTGCATGTTTCGCTACGCGCTTGATCCAGCCTTATATTGTACTTTATACTATGATTATAATACATAGTTTATGAATTCATGTGTTTCGGTCGATCGATGATGCTATTGTGAAGCGTATATTACCTGAATTTAAGCAATGGCATAAACTGACGGAAGGACGCTTTACACCAATATAGCAACTATATACTAATGGTATGTGGCGCTCGACTGTGTGTGGCGCAACGGTTCCTGTTCTGTCGAGGTCACATTTAGGTCATCGCAAACAACAACTGATAGTAAATAGAAATTTGGCCGAACGTGTAAACTGGGTCAACGAAGCTGACGTTGAATGTTTACGTACTTCAAGCTGCCAGATTAAACGTAGTCATCGGATGATGACAACCAATTATAGCTATAAAATAAAATATAATACTAAGAAAAGCTGAACACATTGAGAACAAGCCATACGCTAAAAATAGGGACATCTATGTTAACATATGATGATGACAAACAAGCATCAAATATTGAGTGACTAATGGGGTAATAATTAAAACTAGAAGCATAACAGAACACTGAAAAATAACAGCTGCATAGAATGAGGTAGCGAAAAACTGATGTAGACAGAAGAGAGAAGAAATGGAAGGAGAAGGGAACGACGAACGACGATGAAAAAGCTGGTCGCCAAAGGTCACGTACCAAAAGCATGTTAATAATATTACGATCTTACCATTCATATTGTGACTTTAATATCATTATTCCTATGCCTATTGTTTTTCGCTAACAGCAATGCAGAGCTGATGGCGAGTAGCAGTAAACCAAATATACAGACAATTAAATCTACACGTAAACAGACAAGTAAAAGACTTAGTAAAAATCTACTTTAGTAAATACGACAAAATAGAAACGAGTTACAGTAAACAGTAGAGAGAAAAACGAAAATTATATGGTATAAGAAGTCACTGTTAATAATGTAAACGTCGTACAACTACTTCTTACAAGAGCGCAAACATTAGAATCAGCAAAGGAAGATAAAAAAAAGGTGGCCAGGGGAAAACAAACGGTCGGTTGGGACGGTGGAATGGCAGAGACCCCACATGACAGTGATGATGCATTTGATGATAATAATGATGATAGAGATAACTGAAGGTGGTGAATTGGTGAGGTGAGGCACTGGTGCCGCGTCGGTCGAAGTGTCACATTAAGAAAAGCACAGCAACAAATAGACAAACCAACTCATAAATACACAGAAGAGGGAAACGGAGAAGAGCAAGCGACGACCAATAGAGTTAAGCGAAGTTGAATAATGATAAGCAAAGACGAATTACGTAGTTATAGAGAAAGGGTGAATCAGCTAAGAAAAGGACAGCTACATAAGGAGACTGTAACTAGTTTTGTTATTACACTGTTTGATGAGAATGTAATAATACTAATAATAAAGAAGCATGCCCGAATGTAGAAGAAGTAGAGCAAGAAAGAGAGATACAAAATGATCGAATCTATAAGAAACTTGTCGAAAGACTTGCGAGTTATGGGTGATCACGGGTTACATGAGTAAGTATAATTCTAATGACAGCAGTGTGGGCGAATATAGGAGATGAAAAGCAAATATCATTGCTGTAGAAATTTAAAAAATCCTTGGAGAAACTTTTTCAATGCAGCACGGGTTTGGATGAATGCCTTATGAATGAAAGGCAGATAACACATAAAACATAAGAAGAAAGAAATAATCGTTAGTTGGGTGGGATAGGAAGGGCACTTTGTTTTATTAAATTTAAAAAAGAGACAAATAAAATTAAAAAGTTATGTCTATATTAATTTTACATCGATCTATTTTCTACTCTATGTATTCCTGAGCGTTCTAAGCAATTGGATTGTCTTAAATATAATATTCATTGCTATATTAACTGTAACAGATTCCGTTGGCTACTGAGTGTACACGACTCGTCCAGTGAGCTTTATACTCACCCAGGTGCAAAAGTTGAAGGCTTCCGCTTATTGAAAGCTCGCTATGCACAAACTGAGACATTCCTGGGGGTTCCCTTAGCTACATTAGCTCAACCAAGCTTGCCAGCACTCTAACTAAAGTGAAGTTTTACTGGAGGTCTGTTGTCATTTGTGTAGAAAAAGAATGTCATTAGCAATAAGTGAAGTGAGAGTGGTAAATAATAGTTAAAATCAAATGAATATTAACTACTACTGAATCGAAATGTAATACATTCGTATATACCTAAATCCGGTCAAGAATGTGGTTTAAAAGATAAAAACATCCTTGAAACTAATCGATAGATTTCGACGAGTCATGTAAAAATGCAGTACATATACTATATCTATAGTGGATATTTTTGAATGAATGTGGTGCAAACTCATATCGGTTTACCTATGCAACATTGAAATAAAAATGGATTTTGAACCGCTTTCTATTAAATGTCAATTCGAAATTTGAACCGGCTGATATAGTTATATTTTGTTAAAATAATTCCTGACATCTTCATAGGAAAATTCCAAAATGTGGAAAAATATATGGGTTATATTTAGTGTAAACAACATTAAAAAAGGTTAAAAAGATCTTTAATTCTTCGTAAGGATTGGAATAGGGCCAGCACATATATATATGAAATATGTGCGACTGCTTATACTTAACAAAAAAGATGGGAAAAGCTAGTAGCCTTCGGTGACGTCCCAGAAGCAGAGTCAATTTCCAATTAGTATAATATGTATAAATACAACGTACAAAAGCAATTTAAAAAAATTCATATTCCTCAGGCTTTGGTAACGTCCCAGGACCAGAACCAAATAATTAGCCGATTCTACCAATTGCAAGGTCTACTAAGAGTCGGTCGAAGGCCACAAGATTATCGTACGTACTTTAGAAATCGGCCGATGTTCGACCTTATTCACGTGCACCTCGGAAACAACATGCCTGCCAACACTAAAAATGCCCCTGTCATCTTTCATAAGTGCACCAAAAGCCAATAGATTACGGCTGAGACAAATCCAGAATTAACTGAGTCGACTGATGAAATAACTGCAGAAGGTTATGGGGTTAAATAAAATAGCGGGACTGCAACGGAATTACAGTTACTATTAGGAGTTACAGTATTTCTCATTCAGTATTTCCATTGTAGTGAAACCAATGTCTAGACGTCTCACATCTTACAATAAGATGCTCCATGACGGTATTCAAATCGTCTCGTCACTTTGCAGCAGTTGTTCCATTCTCTCTATCAAATAATTCCTCCTCGCCATTTTGGATCTCAAGACATAACTGAAAAAAATTTTTTTTGAGGTCCTAGCTTGTACCTTTCGTGGAGAATTTGAAGGAAAACTGTATATACGGATACGTGAGAAATGCGCAACTTGTACCGAAAAAGACTGTCCAAAAAAGTAATCTTTCCGCACTAGCATTAGAGTGGTATATTTTAAGGATTGCTTTTATCATTTTTACTATGAAACCAATTTTTCCTAGGCGTGTCGTTCATATCATATTGTACTCTTAAAAAAATTTATAAGAGTTACGAAAGCAGTTTCTCAAACTCTTTATCTATATGATTTTTTCTTATGGTCTTTAACCTTATTTATAGTCGTTCTCCAAGTTCACTATTCGCATAATAAATTGAAAAACATATTTTAAATTTAACGATTTTGTTCCTTGGGATGGATTGATTAAGAGATTTTAAAAGAGTGTATACACTCTAACAGCGAAAAAAACAGCCATAAACAGCGAAATTGCATCGTATTTTCTCTATAATTCTCACTTTGATGTACTTTCTGCGCATGAAATTTCTATAAACGTCAGAAGTTGATTTACTGGAACGATTTATTTTGTGGTTTATCTATAAATAGGTTTTGTTTCTGATTTCGATTGATTCCACAATACATGTGTACTAGACCTACCAAAAGCTATCAGATACACCAAGACTGAAACAAAGCTTCGCCTGCATATTTGTGGGCTAAATAGATTGATGTTCTTTTACTAACTATTATCTTAACTTTCGCTTATACACAAATTAGAAAACCCATAAATATTTTATACCTTTTCTATTTGAACAGGTCAAATTCATCGGAGACCCATTCGTAGTATTTTCGTCTTCAGGTAGCAGTTTTTTTGTTAGTTGAATTTGGTAACTTCTACCTTCTCGTGGAATCATCACTGTCGCTAATCGCCAAAGGAGAAGGTATTGTAATGTCACAGGAGTCGTTCATGTAAGACGTGATAGCTTGTTCTGCAAAATAATACTATGTATAAAAATATGCACTGTTGTATTATACCAAATGATTGAAAATAAAAGGTGCAGTAACGATATTTAGCTAGCACACAATTATGCAGCGTATACAGGAAACATTTACTAAAATGAATTCATTATCTGTTTTATCTGATCGCATTTGATTATTATGATGTTTTAAGGTTAAAGATAGTCATGCCTAAATACAAACATGAAAATTTGCGCGCAGAAAATATATGGTGAATGCGCTTCTGGCTCCAGCCACCGGCTTCAATGATTAATTGCACCATCACCCGGTATAAACGCGGTTGTTATAAAATTCACGTCTCGCTAGATTATACTATTGTTTATTAACCGAGTAACAGTTACGAGCCTAAGAAGTTTCCCGTCCTAGCATGAAACCCATTTCGGGTGGAAAAATTATTTTTAAAGATGTAACAAAATAACAGAGATGTATGTTAGTACGCGTTCAGCCTTTTGTGATACATGTGCGACACAAACATTAAAAATTAAAATTACATACTATTTTTCCCGATTTTAAATCTATTGTGACTCTTCTTTGCTTTCCACGATATTCAATACTTGAGAGTTGGTTCGCAGCAATATTTACAAGGGAGGTTAACCCGTTGTAAACACGCTCGGCATTACGGTCGTCCATTTTCACACAAGTCATTCTTTAAATCCCAGGAAGACTATAAAGTTTGATCTGCTGTTCTTCTCCACCCTAAAATCGTCTTTCTAAAATGTAAATGCACATATAGAAAAAACAAGCGTTTAGTCAGCTATTCACCTATTATCATATGCCATTTCGTGACAACGTCTAGCAGGTCGTGTGATATGTTTCATTGAACAATGACGGCGTATGATTTCCTCTGCGTTTACTGATGATTGTCCACTGGCAGTGGCTTCTTTGGCCGAAGCTTCTTTATCATGATTACTGGACTTCGTCAGTTCCTGAGATCTGAATTCTTCCGATTGCCGTTTACCCTTTTTAAGTCGCTAGAATCGTCTAAGCTTGATGCCTTATCCGGTTTTTGTAGGCAGCTCATTGTGCACAGCGCATAAAGCTACGGCTGTTCTTCTGTTAACAAATTTAGATTTTCTCATTTTCTGATGTTGTTGTTTATTGGTAAAATTTTCATCTGTCGGATAAACCTAACTTTTTTTTATTTTTCTGAGTAGACCCGGTTTACTTATCCACAAGGTAAGTTGTTGATCCAAACGCACACTCCCTGCAATATCGTATAATTTTCCGTTGTACTCTAACCTAAGCTGCACATTGCCATTGGACGAGTGAAACACATTCTTAAGCAGATTGTCAAAACCACTCCAGGAAGCATCTTCACCACTAAAGCTACAGTTTTGTCACATTTCAGATCACCACTATTATGATTATTATTTGTATCCGTAGTAATTAACGTTGAGGATGAGAACTGTGCTTCTAATGGTGAATCTTTGCCCTCGGCATTTTCTACCAGATAGGGTGTCCATCACAATTTATCCGTTAAGAGCCTGTTCAATATGAAATAAATCAACTTCACACAGAAAAATATATAAATGCCAAAAATACTGTTTTTTTTCTTTCACAAAAGCCGGATAAAGAGGAACGGATGAATCAGATTAAACTTTAATCTACACCAATATATAAACATTTCAGCTGCCAGTTTCATTTCTCAGTGTCAGTCGTTGTTAACTAAGTCGATTTCTTCGTGCTTATTGATTCTCGTCCGAATCATCGAAATAATGTTTACGGTAGTTGATAACGAAGGGCTTTTATTGATTGTGCTACAAGTCTTTTGGATAAATAGCTTTTGAATTTCACAATGGAATGTCAATTGAAGATGGTTAAATTCATAAATGTTAGTGCTGTGCTTCACGTGCGCAAAATACTCATTAATAGATTAAACGGTGTGGTACACAGTAACCTTTCCCTGTGTAAACACGTTCTTTCTATTTGAAAATGAGCAACTCAATTTGACTCCATAGTAGAAACAAGCTATATTTCTACTTCTCCAAAATCAGATTACTGGAAAATACCATTCACCGATTATTTCGTGTTTATCATAACTGTAAATGCTAATGGGTGATAACTGAACGTAATATGAACTCAAAAAACCAATTATTGCATAGCCACAGTAGGACGAAATGAACGCACAATCAGCTGTGTAAATACATCGTTCCTTACTTTACACAAACACAGCCTATGAAAGCTGTTTTGGATCAGACTGGAGCTTTTCTGAGTATACATTTCCATATAATAGCGCCATAAAGTACTGTCCTCTGAAATATGAATCACCTGCAGGCGTTTACTTGTTTTGGCGCAGCATTTGATATGCTGCCACCAGGGAGCGCCGTCATCATGTCTTGACGGTGATATCCATACAGATCCTTTGGGTCTTTCATGTGGACGAAAAAGAGATATTAGCGGATAGATTACATTTTTTCTTTCTACAACGTATTTGACAACGAGTGGAAGGACCTGTTATGCTCGATCAAGAACTAGATATATAATAATGATAATAATTACTGCTAACAATCACACGCCAATAATATTATAAATAACAGATATTAATACATTAGTTAGTTCATGCCAAAAATGTCTCGTTGTTTATTTAGTGAATTAATATATTATATTCACAGAAATTTATACTGAAGTCTAGTAGATGTAAAATCGTTTGTTGCCCAAAGAAGCTTTTCTCATATTTCTAATTATGCGCGACAGTATTAGTCAAGCTTTCTTTTTGTGTTCCTAATTATATGCACAACTTCTCATTTATCTCTTTGTAACATTTTATTGATAGGTGGATAGAAGACATAGACGCAACATAGAAGATGGCACTTATTCAAAAAATATTTTTGATTAGAAGCGGAAGTATGATTGAATCACTTAACGCATACCCATTGGTTGGAACACTTTTAAGTATCCTATTTTTGGACAACCATTTTTATTTATGACATGTATCAAGAATTAACCAGAGATTTATTTAACCACTGTTAAGGCAACAAAAGGTACGCTGATGATTCCAATAAAAAACGATTCTTCTAATAAAGGCTGTCTAACTGTCAAGTGATTTTTTCAAACTACCAAGAGGCTCTTGTTCTACTATGTGTATTAAAAAGATTCAACGAAAGTCTTTTTTCATGGTAGAAATGTTTAATTTCAAGCGGTTAGTGTCTTGTATTCGCATATACTTGCTATATTGATTAAAGTAATCTACAAATGTGTTTTCGTAAAAGACTAATTGACATGCGTTCAACTTCTAATAAAGTTAGGTCTATAGGTAGCTCCCTTAATCTTGTCGCATGTCAAGGTGACGTATTAGTGCATAATAAAGTCCACTGATATGCGGTAGCAGAATAGAGGAGCAATTCACAGGTACTCTTTACCGTCTGAATCCATTACCTTTAGTGTTTCATTCCATGCGGCTTAGCTGATATCACAGACGTGTCTCTCTGTGCTCTTGCCGGTGTCGATGAGTAACCTGTTTCACTGTATGCTATGTTCGTAGCTCGTAGATATCAAGGTATATGATAATAATGTTCCTGTTATTTCCCAATAGCCACTATAAGGAGTATTCATATATACATATATACCCTTTCTTACCGAATAAGATTTGTAAAACATGTAGTAAACTTGAGCTTCTTTGTCTAAAGTGCCTTTACAGGCATTGGCTGTAAAATAGTGTAGCGTTACTAAACAAAGCCCTCTTATATAAAACCTTCTGAAGAGCTACACAAATGACTGCCCGCCGGTGATAATGAGTTAGCGCTTATGAGGCAAAATTGCTAAATTCAATTTGGACGTCTCGTTGCAGATACAAGCACAGTTGGTTATATACAGTATCATTATCCCATTAATGTTCAAATTACGTCCAGGTATATGCCATGAAGTATTGCTTATGATGGCTGGCCCGCAATTGAATTAAAATACATTTACGGCCTTTGCGCACTTAATATATGGACAAAAAAAGGTTGACAAGACGAAGACAAAGGCTGTTACTCGCGAACAATGCTCTTTATGAACCATCGTTCATAAAGGTCTCCACACGATTGCGGTTTCGCGGTTAAAATCGATTTGAAATTTGGCGCGTGCTTGCCCTTTCTCAGCAGTTTGTATTGGTTTCGATTTCAGCCATCTTGTCTCTTTCTGGCCTCGGCTGTAGATTCGGCGTGTTACGCTACGTTACGAACGCAAGTGCTGGATTCATCCTCTTTAATCGCGCTCAAGACAGCGCAAAAACCGCCACCAAAATGGAGGTATCGTACGCGTGCAACCTGAATAACAGGTTCGAGCTGTTTCTTGATGAAGAGAACGACCCACTGGATATGCTGGCCAAGCAGGAGCAGGCCCATCGCAAAGCCGGGGTAAGTAACTTTGTGTGATGGGTTTTTGCGTTTGAAGGCCAATCTCAAATGTTATCGAAACTTATTTGCAATGCATCAACTATTTCAATAGCGTTTTAGTGAACAATAGTGAAAAGCTGTCAACCATAATTTACGCTGAACAGTACGTAAAACCACTTTCTTGGCGCAGTGATCTATAGCCAGCCCTCAATGAGAGACGGGGCTCGGTTCCGTGTTGCTCTGTATTCTTATTATACTTCATTATCGGATTGCTGGAAAGAAAGGCTGCGCTACGAACGAAGCGGACCGGCGGATAGCATTAGCGTTGCGAAGCATGTACAGTGAATATCTTGTAATGTGCGACTAGTTTCAACGAAATGTTGTTGTCGCATGTCAACTAGGTGCTGGCTTTGCTGTTCCTACAAAACTCACTAAGCGCGCGGTTTAACGACTCCGTTTCGCCATTTTTGGACAATGGCAGACTAATAGCTAGGCTAGGTTACCAATCATTTTTTGCTGGAATTACCTTTCTGTCACAATTGTGATGGTAGATAAGTAATGATGAGAATAACATGCATTAGCCTACGTGACTTGAACATCCAACCAAATTTGATCACCTTAAAAACATACTGTAGCCTAAACAGTTTTGTTCGTCCTCGTTAATACATAAAGCTGCTACAGTACTGATTCCGACCTCAGCTATACCATATTATAGCAACAGCGCACATTGCTATTCTCGTCTGAAGCTTGATGTGTGATGATGATAATGATTATGCTGCTTTATAAAATGGCAGCTGATAGTTGTATGCGCTATTGTTTCTTTTTGACTAATAAGGTTTAGTAATGTTTACTCAACGGTGAATATCGAACAATGCAGCAGACTCTGTTCACACGTGCAATACCACTAGCACCACTAGATCTCATATGAGCAGTGCCAGTTACCACTGCAGTATACGATGGCGTTCAAAATTCGAGGGTGGGGTCAAACGAGTGTGAAACACTGGAATCCTATTCCTTATTCTGCTGTTCTTTTATGTTACGTAGAAACAAACAGCATTGTAATAGGTATGAGAGTTAGGTTTTGTCGGAGGAGTAGCATTCGCAAAACCTACATTTACGGGGTCCTCGATTCATTGGTTTCGCAATATGAATGAACAGTTATTGTTTTGTTCTCTCCACTAATGGCAACCGTTTCTAGGATGTTCCATTCTATACAGACAGAGCAGCAGGCAGTTGAATTTCTTGATCGTTATCAGCTTACAACCTTCTTAATTTGTCAACCACATTACGGCGATAGTCTACTAGGATAGCAAGTACTATTGAATTCATCGGACAATTCAGTCAACTATGAGCACCAGACTGGTGATGTTGGTCTAAATATTTCTTTTTAGGATTGTTCCACTGCCTAATGGTAGAAAGATGTGTATGGGCTGGCAAAAAGTCTAATCTTGTTTTCCGTCTATATATATATATTACTTATATGTATGTATATATATATAACTGTAACTGCGCCCTTTTATGAGTGCCTACGTATTCGTAGCTATTTCCTACCGACGTCATGGCAAACAATTGACAAGGAAGTTGTAAATTAAAATAATCGTAGCGTGTTTTGATGTGCAGCGGTAGTAGCAGTTAAATGTATTTATAATGCTGCTGTTGTGTTGCCTCATTTGGTTTGAAGGTAAACAAACTTGCTCTTAACGGCAAAATTCTTGTAATATTTGGACCGGTGGTTGAATATGCATTTATCAATCGTCAGTTGTTGCTCATTAAAGTAAAGCAGAGCTTTCACACACGTGGTGGTTAGCGGGGTATCCACGAGATGGCGCCACTAGCTCTAGCGCTCATAATGTAGCATAGTTTGGCTGCATTAAGTTACCGCTGGCGCCGTCTGTGTGTTCAGCCATATGGCCGTATGCGTGTGGCTAGGTTTCTACAATCGCTATGGCTGCTGTTGATACGTTTGTAGCCATTTTGTGGCACGTTTCTGGAGTCAGCGTTACTGGTAAATTCTGCAATCGTCCCAAGGGCAAAAGAAAGCAATTCAGCAATTCTTCTCAGAAACACACAGCATAACAACAACAACAAAGAGATTACTAGCTGCGACCGACTGTTGCCTAACCGGCTGACTAAATGGATGGCTGGCGCTGGATAACGGCGACTGGACTTCCTTTTGTCTCCTCCGGAAGTCTGGCTCGATTACTGTAACTTTGTACCTGTAATAGCAAAACCACTACTGTTGCTGCGACTGCTTAAGTAGCTGAAAGTATCGTAGTAGTGCATAGGGGAGTAGGAGCAGTCAGGCCTCTAATTCTAGAAATGATTGCCCTATTTAAAGACACGAACTGCCATTGTGTTGGGTCCATGCTTCTTGAAAGATATTAGGTAAGATAGCGCGTTTAGCTTTGAAACATTCCAGGTGAGAGAAAGTATAGAATAAGTCCGAGTTAACGTTTCTCTTGTTTGATGTTGCCGTGAATCCGAAATATTAATATTGATTCGTAACCAGTAGGATACACAAGTATCAGTTACATGCAAGAAATAAAAATTATGTGAAATATTTAATGCTCTCAACAAATCTAAATCTCAATAAACAGCTTCGAAATAGTAATTCGATATTTTTACAGTTTAGTAATGGTGTGTAAAATAGGGGTAGCTACGACAATGACGTATTTTATTCGTTGGATTGGTTCTTAGGTACTACTTAAATATTAGTAGGAAAAACTTGGTAGCATTTAAAAACGATCATTTGCCGGTTGATATCATCTTCTCACATATAGCTCTGACTAGAAATGCTTTGGTGACACAATGACAATACATTCGATTTAACAGTGTAAACAATATAAGATATGGCAAACATTTATGGGACAACAAATGTTAATAGTCTAAAGGCTTGTTTTTCATCTTGCTGTTGTGCGTATGTGTATACGCCAGTCTCGGTATTGGCTATATCGAGATGGCATGACTTTCGTGCAACAGCTGCTCAGATCCGGCACTGCTGTGTTAAGTTTTTATCTTTCGTCCTACTGCTCCGAGCTATGTCTAGGGATTGTTTACTTTTGCCTCTGACACGTTATATCTGGCTCACACAAATATCGATTTTTAAAACTGTGTTTTGTGTGCCGTTGATTCGACAAATCTGCCCATTTGGAATAAAGATTTGCATTAGTTATATGACAGAGTCACAGTAACGCCATTTTATGCTTGTACCTCAACTAGAATGTGTAACATTTGCGACTACAGATATGTAAAGGCGATTCGGTATACGGTATTGCCGGTTATTTCTTTTCCTTTCGAGTAAAATTGAATACACCTGGTAGCGAAGAGCGTCGCATTTTGTATGGATAACAGTATCCTTTATGACACTAGTGAAAGTCTATTGTCAGTCTAGATTATTATTGAATTATAGGTAATCTAGGTAGAAAATTCGATGTGTTACATAGAATTGCCGTAAAACATAGCCATTATTTTCCCCAATGCATGTAAAATAAGCTACGAACTACGTTTTTTTTTTAATTATCAACTTGGTTTTCATCCATTGTGACTATCATATTGTTTCGCGTTAGAAAAAAATAACGCTTTTGGGGGTTTCGTTTTGCTGTTGCGGATACCCTTCATGTGTGTAGGATAAGAAGGAAGGAGGTAAGAAGGACGCCGGCAAGAAGAAGGGTCTTAGCAAGACTCTTGTTGAGTCTGTAAAAACGATTGCTGCTGCTGTAGATTCCAATAATCCTCCGGCGAGGCCTCTAGCGCGTCGCAACGACGGAGCACCCTCTGCTGCCGCTGGTGGACAGTCGCGCTCTGAGGGCGGTCCGCGTGCGCCTCGCCGCAACGACAATCCCAACATTGAACGACGAAACAACGAGCGGAACTTTGAACCTCGTCCAGAGGGCGGCGAGCGCCCTCCAAGGGATAATCGCGGTGGTGGGGCGAGAGGGGACGGTCCCCGTGGACCGCGGTTCCCACGTGGGGAAGGAGGCCGCGACGGAGCTCCCCGATCTCAAAGGGGTGGTCAAAGGGAGTTTGATCGTCGCTCAGGTGATGTACGGTCCGGAGTGAAATCGGTCGAGAAACGCGGAGGCCAAGGTGCATACAACTGGGGCAGTGCAACGGATACGTCAGCGAACGACCAGGGCGATCTTGAACAGCAACAGGGATCGAACGCTAATGCCAGTAACGTTAACCAGGACAGCAGCCGCGAAGAGATTGCGGAAGGTTAGTTTATTTAGCAACAATTTCACACACCAACACAATTCCACACTTATTGAATTACTTAAATTACTGAAGCCATTGATTCGTCATTTTCATGGTAATTACAAGTAATCAGTCTTCAAGTCAAATGTGATTCCATAGTTCGACTTCGTGAAAAGTGTATGAGATTTTGGTTTGTTCTGCCGCGTTCTGAGTTAATTATTTTGATGCAGTCGGTCTTATGACATTTGCTACTCGTTTTCTACCGCGGACTTCAATTAAGTTTTTTTTATTACTAGTCCAGTCGGATTGCTCTTTGTTCTAATTACCGTTTCGGATTCGCTATAAAGAACCAGTATAACAAAGTGACCAAAGGAATGGCGCATCTAGTAAGCCATTCAGTTGAGGATATGTGGTTTATCGAGGTCGGTGACTTCATTGTTGCTCTTTGCTTGTAGATCAAAAGTACTTCAAATACAACGCGTAATGAATCTTGTTTTAACAGTATGATCGACCTGAACTATTACGACGCTGATATATCGCACAAGCTAACATTTTTGAATTTTGATTACATGAACGTAATAACATATTTCTTCAATCTAATTACGTTGATTGCTTTGTATCCTTGTAATTGTGACAGGCGGTGAAGAAGCGAGCGCGCCCGCCGGATCCGAGGTTGTCGAGATGACGCTCGAACAATGGAAAAAAGAACAGGCAGCCAAGCAATCGAAGGCCGAGTACTCCGCAAATATCCGCAAGCCTAACGAGGGTGAGAAGGACGACCCTAAACTGAAGAAGGCGACCGTCATCCGCAAAAAGAAAGAAGAGGAAACCTATGATAGTGAAGAAGACGCTGAAGAATCGGAAGACGAGTGCGAGAAGATGAAAAAACAACTCGAACAGACGCTGGCCTCGCAATTTCATTTCGCCGATCAGCGCAGTGGCCCTCCCCGTGGCGGACGAGGACCTGGTCGCACAGGCCCTGGTGGCCCACGCTTTGGGCAGCCTTCACAAGGCGGGCATGGCCCCACACCTGGCGTTGCTGGTCCCAACCCCAACGCCAGAACAGGATCAAATGCCCGATCGAATCGTCCTCAACACACGCCTCGTGTAGAAGATCTCAACGACTTCCCCTCGCTAGCCGCTTAAGTGCCGCAGCTGCTCCAGTGTCGTCGTCGCCCCCTACAGAAATGGCAACAATCGTAACAGCTAATAACACTACTACTTTAATAGGAACGCTAGCTAATCCTATAAAGCAATCGCAGATGCCAGATGATATGAGTGTAAACCATTTTTTCTCAGAATCTATGTTTAATCTGCGGTCCGAGAGCGTGGGAGAGGGTTGTCTTTAGTTTGAACTAGAGAAAGCTATTAAAAGGCTTGAAAGCTGGTGGAGGGTCTGTCATTTTGCTGGATGGTCTGTTTACTAGAGCATAAGGCGTCTTCTTCCCACGCTCTCTAATTTCTGGTACCACAGTTTCGATTCTGAAAAAAAGCTATTTTGACCGGGGGGAAGGGGGCGACGAGGAGCTCTGTGAACACCTGCGGTGCCCTTATCAATTATTCGTGATTGCACGCAGAAATGGTGTAAGAAGAGGATTAACAGACGAACATACGCAAAAGAACATAACAGTAAGCAAAACATAAACGAGGTTGACAGAGTTGTTGTTTTTTGTCATCTTTGTGAAGAGCTAAGTTAAGGCTATACAAGGAAGGGAAGGAATTACTGGGCGTTTATAGGAGTGGGCGATGTCTACTGACAAAAGTTCGTGCGCTCAGTCGCACCGTCGTCGTTAACCATTGCAAACCTTAAAGCTTTGAGACAATGAACCTCGTAGTATGTAGGTTGCCTGAGACCGAGCAGTGGATCTTGTGATCGCAAGCAGCAAAAAATAGAAACCTACGCAGGTCAAAACCTAGGCAGGCGAAAAAGTTCTAATCAGACGGAAGTGATGGGTGGCAGTCAGCGAGGGGACCACTAGTAATAATTAGATTTAGTTGCGATGAAATTATCCGTTGTTCTTAGTCTGAGAGTCTGTCGATAGTTCGTGTAACGTTCTGTCTGTGAAGGAATCTTTACTGCATGTATTCTGTGCATTATATGCTGTGCCCTACATGGCATCATCTTAATTCATCGTCGTTATCATTATTATATGCTGTTTCTTTTTCTTCTGCCTCTGTTGTCTGTGCGTAGTTGTTCTCAGCATCGGTGTTGCTAGCGTACTGTTGTGACATTAGGTGGCTCGTGTTCTACAATACAGAAGTTAATGAAGAGCGCAGCTTTTCTTGATATATATATCGCTCACTTAGAATTTTAAGCTATAGTTTGTAAGTTCTCAATCACTTCTCGGTTTCCGGCATTTGTTTCTGACCCTCATGTATGAAAGCCATGCCGAACTCGTCTGCCATCACTATATCTAAAAATAAGGGGATTTTTATTGATAGGTGAAGAGTAAACGAGAAGCGCGGAAGAGTGGTACAGTAAGAGTAATTTGGAAGTGAGTGACAATATGAAAGAAGTTGCGGTTTTTATTAATTTAGTTATGTAATGCATTGTTCGATGAGGGAACATGAAGTCGGTACGAAGACATGATGCCACGACAAAAAGCTGGTACGAGCAGCGTTGCTTGAGTTGACCGAACAAACGAAGTAGAAATAAAGGCAGATATCAAAAGGCAGTATGTAATGACGACCCCATGAACGACATAATAGCACAATAGAACCTACATAGTAAATATTTTCATTCATAGACATAACACTATTTTGACTATCCAAATTGAGTGTGACAGCCTGGCAACGTAACGATTTTTACATTGCTTACATATTGAACAGAAGGAAAAGATTGCAGTAATAATAACAACAGCAAAGCGTGTTTGTCTAAAAAAAAACTCGAAAAAACACAAAATAAATAAACATCAACAAAATATGATTAAATGTGGGTGAATCATTATTTGCCAGGCAAAGCAAAATAAGCCGCAGAATGGAACGAATCAGAGTTGATTAGCTGATATAGGAATAAAGCGAGAAAGACGAAGCAAATATTTACTTGTATCATCATATATTTAAGTACCAAATCTACCATCAGGAATAATAAGGACAGAAAAGTGAGTCTTTTGGTGGAAGGCAAAAGTGATGACTTTCTACCTTAACAGAGAAGAGGGCTATTGTTGTCGACGATACCTTTCTATCAGGTTTCGCTAGTGCGATAAGTAAGAGGGTTTACAAGGCGTTCGAAAGCGTATAAAAGATACAGACATGAGAGGTGCGAAACGCTTTCAATTTATTTTATTATGAATGCTTAGGTAAAAGACAAAGGAACGTCTTTAGCTTTGCGCGAATAGGGTAAGGTATGAATCGGGTCGAAGTGAGAGAAATGACGTAGGATACTGCAAGCGACCAGATGCAAACCTACTTTATACACATATATCATTTTTTGTAATTGAAAATATGAACGCAGTGAATTATAAATCGGCGAGAGAGTTCAAAAAGGAACATGGCACTTAGGCGAGCTATATATGGTGCATACCAATTAACGGAACGCAACTGCGCGATAAAGGTGTGAATATTATTGCTAATTCTATACACTAAAATGGTGCGCAATGAAGGGCTCGAGTAGTGGTTAATAATGCAGTTGATATCGATTACATGATTAGGACAGGAAGCTAATATAGGAAAAACCGAAGCCGTAAGAGAAGAACCACAATGCCTTCACAAGATACAAGAAAAAGCAAAGCCATTTTTATCCAAGTCGAATCCCATTTGTATGCGGATAGCGAAGTGGTTTTTGTCGTGTTTACGGATATAATAGTTTACTAAAAACCGTTTCGACTATTATTACAATACGATCAAGCACGATATGGATGGAACGAAAATAGTTCATTTGTTATTATTTACCCATCGGTTATCGAGTGTACTGGTCAGCGGTTCCATAGTGTGATAAATTATCCAATCATTTTCAACATGATTGTCTATTATATTAATTCACTCAAGATTATAGTATCCGCTATCACATATGTACATCATATGTATTACATACACGCGATCACAAAGAACGAACAATCACGACTAGGTTTACAAGAGCGGAGTTTCATCAATAGACAACCTTTTATATTATAGCAATAATGGAAACAGAGTTGAAGGTGTTGGGGACAATTAAATATGGGCAGATGAAAAATGCACAAAAGATATACGCCTTTGGTTACATTTTTAGCTATGAAAGTTAACGTATTTAAGCAATTTAAAATTGATGGAAATGGAAAAGTGTGACAAATGATGAACTATACGTGGCGTAGACTCTGAATGAACACCACGCGATGGTTTCTTTAATAAAATTTGTTAAACAATTAAAACCAATATAACGTTTTTAACTTATGAACTGGCAAAGTAATATGTTCATAGATAGATAAAATGCTCTACTTGTGCCAAATAAGACCACATCACATTGAATGTTGATAGACGTAGAGGTGGTGCCTTAAGAAACCGCAAAAGGCAGTCCCTGAGACTCTTACTTGGGGAAATGATTTTGCAAATGTCTTCTCTTGTAAACATATTGATTTAAAGCTATAGTTCGTAAAAATTTCTGATCAAAAATCGCACAGAAAATGAGGAGCAGGAAGTTTAGTTCGATTTACATAGCATTTAGAAGCAATCCTACACTGAAAATGCTTTTTCTAGTTGAATACAGTCCTTCTACAATCCATTATATGATACAAAAAAACAATTGGAAAAGGTATTAGTTATCATCAACCAATGAGCCACCATAAAATATATTAAGAAGAAATTAGCTCGCGTAGAAGCCCGTGTGGTAATATTCGTAGTTTAAAAATACGTGGAGGAAGGTGAATTAAGAGTTTGTAACATTTAGTCCGAAAAGATGTACCTGAAAGATACTGAAGTTGAAACAACGAGGACTTTTCAAACACGTAACATACATACAGAGAATTAATGTCATTGTAATTTTGCAAACTTGCACTTTTGCTAACAGACAATTTCGTCTATTTGAAAGGAATTCTTTAAAAAATTACAATGTGTTTTCTGTCTGCAGTATTTAGTCTCTCATGATTCACTTTGCAGTCTGAATAAGCGTTAGCGCTTTTCCCTTGCCTATGCATGTTTATTCGGGACACTGAGTAAACAGAACACGCAGCCGAAAATTTTTTTTTACAGCAGTTTACATAGTGCTTTGACCGACCACAGAAACCAGTATTGCGATTTAATTGCGTAATCCCGAACTCATTGAAATTACGCAATTAACTCGCAGGACTAATGGCACTGCATGAACCTTTTTTTTTTTATTTCTGTTTTATTTTCTTCTAACGTTTCCTCTAAGTGCCCTTATTTTTTTGGCCATTAATTAAGTATTAGAGTTAAGCAGTGTTACATTACCTCTTTGGCAGTTTGTTGCCTTTGAGCTGCTTATTACTAGCAGTAGTCTTTTGTTAGAATGGACGTTAGTTTCATTATATTCTTCGCATACGTATTTTTGAATGGAAATTGATAAAAATGAGTATCAAGTTACCATTATCAATTTCAAGATTTAACGTAGTTTTCTATATACTTGTGCAGCATATATGTGTCGATATTTAGCTGAAATCTATTCCATGTTGTTCGAACACTTCGTCGTGCTGATAAAGGATTTTTTGTTTCAACATGTTTCGTTTTTTAAGGCTTATATATATCTAAAAATATTTATTTTTGCACGGGCAATTGCACATATACATAGATATATATATATATATATATATATATATATGCAATTGCCTGACAATTACAAACATTTTTCACATTAAGCATTCTTCTGACGCAACTGACGGTAATCCAAGTATTCAATAAAGCTAAACATTCCAACATATCGATATGTTATTCTTTTCTAACATAGTAATTCAGAAGCTCTTATTCAATACAAATGCTCTGTGAGAGTTAAAAATGGAACGAGCAAGCGCACATGGAAGCTATTAATGTTACTCTTAGGCTCTTTGAAACCCTTGAAGTGTGCAGCCACCTACCGCCGTCTCAGCGCCAGGCAGAGTCTCAACCAATATATTTATAATAGTACACTATGTGCCACAGGATACTGTTTGTTGTAAATATTTACTTCTTCTGCAGTACTAACAATAATGCGATTCATCCTAGTTTTCGCTCAGTATATTCCGTCAATAAATTCATGTTTTTCTTGTAAAATACGGAACACATGAACGTAGTGGAAACAGTGAAATAAGGAAAATAATGGAAATAGTAGAATAAGGAAAATAGTGGAAGAACTTAAAATAACGGTCCTCGAAAGGTAACACCAACTTGCCATAGGTCTCAATCTGTTTTCCTGGAAATGGTGCAGTGGGTAATGTGTTTACCGGCAAAACTTGAAAGGCACATTGTGTTTTGGGTTCAAATTGGAGCATGGGTACACTTCGTATCAGACCGGAGGTCAGCCGTTTGGTGGAGTGCCCAACGGCCGTACCGGACTTAGAGGTCGAAACATATCGATTAGGCTTCAATCTGATGGGATGGTTTTCAAAAGACGGCCGCAAATTAGTGCAACGACAACTATATATATATATATATATATATATATAAACAAACGCATACATGTATATTGCTTAAGCGTCGTGTTTAAAACTACTACAAGGGGTGTATGATTGCGTAAACTCAACCAAGAGAAGAAACATAATTGCTTATCATAAATTCTCTGTCAAATATTTTTAAGGTGTAGTCAGCTGGTGGGTCTTTATTCAACGATACAAGAAAGCATGCGAACTGAATGGAAGAGAGATGAATGCATTGCAAAACCTTTTTTTGATCTTGCAAGTTACTGCGGGTTACACCATAAAGTGTAGATATTGAGGTCTCTAAATTCTCAATACATCGAAACGAAGCACTTTGTAATTACCTTATATATTGCGAAGATTACTTATCGAGGATATTTCTGCTTTATTTTCAGTGTTGCGAGAGACCTCAGCTGTGGCCCGGAA